CTTTCCAGGCCTCCTCATTTATTTTTTGGATAGATCTCTCGTAGCTTAGCTTGCAATAGAGGTTAAACCCTGAAGTTCCGATCCTTTTGTCTCCACCTCCCCGGTGCTGGGATTACAGGAATGAGTGTGTCACCACGGTGCTATGGAGTGAACCCAGGGATTCGTTCATACATGCTAGGCAAGCACTCTAATTAGACTACATTCCCAGCCCCTAAATAATAAATTCTTGGCCGGGCAGTGGTGGTAGACTCTTTTAATCCCAGCACTTGGGAGGCAGAGGTGGGCAGATCTCTGAGTTAGCGAACCAGCCTGGTCTACAAGAGCTAGTTCCAGGACAGGCTCCAAAGCCACGGAGAAACCCTGTCTCAAAAATCAAACAAAAAAAGAGCACATGAAAACACTATAAACATAAATCTTTAAAAAAACAAAACAAAACTCAGTATGTATTCATGAGGTGAGGCACACATGGTAGTCAGAAGACAACTTTGTGGAGTTGGTTCTCACTATCTACCATTTATTTATTTTTGTTTGAGACAGGGTCTCTATATTATATATCCTGAAACTCGTTATTCAAATCAGGCTGGCCTGGAACTAACATAAGTCCACTTGCCTCTGCGTCCAAGAGCTGGGATCAAAGGTGAGCACCACCGCGATCATCTTCCATCTTTACTCTTGTCTTCAGGCTTCCACTGCAAGCACCTTTACCTTCTTGTTGGCTCCTTATTCATCTTTGTATCACCTTTAAAATAATATAGGGTGGCCAGGTATAGGAACAGACACCTTTAATCCCACCCCTCAGGAGGCAGAAGCAGGTAGATCTCTGTGAGTTCAAGGCCAGCCTGGTCTAGGTAGTGAGTTCCAGTCCAGGAAAGGCTTAAAAGCTACAGAGAAACCAGGTCTCAAAAAAAAAAAATAAATAATATAGTATGGACATGTCTCTCACACCTATAATCCCAGCATTAAGAAGGCCCAGACTGAAGTTTGAGACCAGTTTAAGATATGTAATGAGCCTAAAGGCTAATCTGTGATACAAGGTGAAACACTGTCTCAACAGAGCAAATACAAGCAAAATATTAATAAAAGGTGCCTGCCACCAAGCCTAATGGCTTGAATTCAATCCCCAGGGCCCACAGATTAGAGCCAGAATGCCTAAGACTTTCCTCTGACCTACCCACACTGTTAACTCTCTCTCTCTTTCTCTCTCTCTCTCTCTCTCTCTCTCTCTCTCTCTTACACACACACACACACACACACACACACACACACACACACACACGCACACACACATGCACGCACACACATGAAAACAAAGTAAATAAATATACAAAAAATAAAAGAACTGGAGAGATGTCTCAGTGGTTAGGAGTGTGGACTGCAGAGGTCCCCTTGCAGAGGACCAGGGTCCCCAACATTAATACTGAGCTACTCACAGCTGCCTCTAATTCTAGCCCCATGGAATCTGATGCCCTCTTCTAGACTCCACAGGCACCTACATGCAAATGCACATATCTTAACAGACATACACACACAATCATTTTTTTCAAGATTCTACACGTTTTTATGCAAGAGGATAGCCTTGTTGGGAGGAATGGGCAGGCCTGTAATCCTAGCGCACAGAAGGATGGAAGTGAGTTCAGGGGCAGCCTTGGGCGAAACAGAGACTGCTAGGCCATCTAGAGATATCAAGCAAGATCCTGTTTCAAACGGGGGGGGGGGGGGCTGGCTGGAGCCATGGCTCACTGGTTAAGAGCACTTGTGCTTGCAGAGGGTCAGAGTTTGGTTCCCAGCACACACACATATATATATATAAATCTAAAAAAGTACAAGAGCCAGGCATTAGGCCAGCGGTGGTGGCGCATGCCTTTGATCCCAGCACTCGGGAGGCAGAGGCAGGGAGATCTCTGTGAGTTCGAGACCAGCCTGGTCTACAAGAGCTAGTTCCAGGGCAGCCTCCAAAGCCACAGAGAAACCCTGTCTCAAAAAAAAAAAAAAAAAAAAAAAAAAAAAAAAAAAAAAGAGCCAGGCATTATGATATATACCCATGATTCCAAACTTGGAGGGCAAAGGAATTGAGAGTTCAAAGTCATCATCACCTATGTGGTCAGTTCAAGGCCAGCCTGTGCTACATGAGACCCTGCCCCAAAATAACTCTTTTCTCCTTAAAATGATTCATGTGTATAGGTGTTTTGCTTGCATGTGTATCTGTGCATGGATAACTGGTACCCCACAGAGCCCAGGAGAGGGTTGAATTACCCACAGAGCCCAGGAGAGGGTTGAATTCCTTAGAACGGGAGTTACAAAGGGAGATAAGCTGCCTTGTATGAGCTGAACAGCCACTGCTCTTACCTGCTGAGAGCCCCAAAACAATTTGTTTTGTTTTTCAAGACAGGGTTTCTCTGTGTAACAGTTCTGGCTGTCCTGGAACTCACTCTGTAGACCAGGCTGGCCTCAAACTCACAAAGATCTGCCATACACCACCACCACCAGACAAGTTCCAGAGCTTTAGACCAGCTACAAAGTGAGTTGCACTTCAACCATCAGCCACAGAGCCAGACCCCTTTCAAACAGCTGTGGTCATGGCTTTAATCCCAGCACTCGGGAGGCAGAGGCTGGAAAATTTCTGTACGTTTGAGGCCAGCCTAGTCTACAATAGTGAGCTCCAGGCTAGCCAGGGCTACACAGTGAGACCCTGTCTTTAAACAAATAAAATATGAGGACTGGAATGTAGCTCAGTAAAAATCTTGTCTGCTATACAGAAGGCCCTGGGTTCAACCCAGCAAAGCTGGGGAGGATAATCAGGTTAGTCCATATGAATGGCAAGGAAACAGACATGAAGCTGAGGGGCTTCAGGCATGCACAGTTGGGCACATGCTTCTCCAGCAGATGCTGTACTTCCTCTACCACAGTGATTCTTATCATGGTGCATTTTTAATTGTATAAGAGGGGGCATCGGCATGTATTTATTATCATAGTCGGCATGATGGAGCCTAAGTGTTATCAAGGGTTCAACAGATACTCGTCTAGCAGCTGGATGCTGGTTCTGAAAGATTTGAAGGTTAGCATGCTCACTTGGGTACATACTTTGTAGTATACCTGTGTAAGACTTTGGGAGTTTGTGGGTGGACAGTGGATAAGACCAGAGCTCCAGAGAAAGATCTGGACTGGCGATACAGTGCTTAGCAGGATGCAGAGGCCGTTTGAGAGAGTCCAATCAACCACTGAGGGAGTGATCATGTGCAAAGTGTAAAGGACACAGCTCAGATGGGGTTCTGCGGTTTAAGGAACAGGCAGAGGAGCAACTGCCAGAAGGGGAACAGGGAAGGACGGGCGCGCAGGGGAAAGGGCAGTTGGGCCTCCTGCCACGGAAATGTCAGACAACTTAAGGATCAGGAAGTGTCCTCGTGTCCTCAGGGAGTGGGGTATCCTTGGAAGAGGGAAGAAGGGAGGGGAGGGGATGTGAAGACCGCTTTGTGCAGTCAACTTCAAGAAGTTTGAGGGAGGGGGGAGAGGAAAGGAGCTAAAGGGAGGGCAGGAGAGACAGGTTTGTGTGGTTTTGCTTTGCTTTTTGAGCCTTTAGACTTTGACTAAACAGCTTAGACTGCTCTGTTCCTCTCAACCTCTCAAATGCTGGCATTTACAAGTATGAATCCACACTCTTTATAGGTCACTGGTAACTTGAGAGCCTTAGTAGAAGTAAATTTTTATACAGACTTGGAAAAGTTTCAAATTGGGCAAAAGCCAGTGGTTAAGTGCTGTGCCAGGCGATGGTGGTGCACACCTTTAATCCCAGCACTCAGGAGGCAGAGGCAGGACAATTTCTGTGAGTTCCAGGATAGCCTGGTCTACAGAGCAAGTTCTAGGACAGCCAGAGATACACAGGGAAACCTTGTCTTGGGGAAAAATAATTAGCAGTGTAGGTTTTAACTGTTGGCAATTCCAAACAACTCAGTCCCACTGTCCCCTAGGGAGAAGTTGATGTCAGTATGTCAGTCCCCAACCTGTCTGTCATGCCTTTTTTTCGGAAATAGGGTCTCACTATGTAGCCCTGGCTGTCCTGCAACTCCGTGTAGACCAGGCCGGCCTCAGATCCGCCTGCCTCTGCCTCCTGATTGCCAGGATTAAAGGCATGTGCCACCACACCCAGCCCCTGTTGTGACATCTTGGCCCACAACTGCACATCCACAATTCAATCGTAATTAAAAAATGCACTGTGTCATAAGGCCTATCTCTCCTTAAGCTACTGATGGGCTCATTCCCTGCTGTCATTTGCAGTTCCTGACTGCTCCTTCCACACAAGAGGTGCCAGCCAGTTCTTAAGAATGGAAATAAAACAGCTAGGAAGATTGCTCAGCACATAAAGGCGCTGGATGCTCTTCCAGAGGACCTGGGTTCAGTTCCCAGCACCTTCATGGCAGCTCACAACTATCTGAAACTCTAGATCCAGGGGATTTAACACTATCTTCTGGACTCCTCAAGCACCAGACATTTGGACGGTGCAGACAGACATGCAGACAAAACACTCACGCACGTAACACAAGAATACAAATGAATAGAGCCCCACAATAAACCTAGGGACCCCTCCAAAACACTGAGGCAGAGGACCGTACCCACAAAATGTGTCCTAGATAGGATTGAAGGTGATATGAACCACTCTTTCTCTTTGCCCATCTGTTTACCTCACTTGTTCTGTTTTTCTGTCTGCCTGCCTGCCTGCACAGGAAACACCAAGGTTTAAGTCTGAGGTGGTCGGTCAGGAAACAGAGGCCTGACTAGACTTAATGAAGGGCCATAAGTCATAACCTTTTTTTTTTTGTTGTTTTTGAGACTGGGTTTCTCTCTGGCTTTGGAGGCTGCCCTGTAACTAGGCTGGTCTTGAACTCAGAGATCCTTCTGCCTCTGCCTCCAGTGTGCTGGAATTAAAGGCGTGCACCACCAAGGCCCGGCAAGTCATAACCTTTCATTAGTCATTATCTCTTGTACTTTTGTCTGTGTTCCCCTGTAGGCCTGATTCCTCCTCCTCATGGTCTCTCCGTGTCCAGCTCAGAACTCCTACCCGTGCCTGAGACTGACTCTTTCTGCTCCTGGAACTTCAGGTGACCTCCACAAGGTATTTAGAGAAAAAAAATTAACAAGCTCGGTCATTTTTCTGATTTCCTGCCCTTCCCAGCCATGTAGGCCCTACTGACCACATCCTCTCCTACCTCATTTATACACTTCCTCATCAGACACATTGATCACACAGGAGTTCTCAGCCCCAAACCCATGCTGGCCTCTCCTTCCAGGGCTTCCACTTACTCCTTTCTTTTCACTCCAGGGGTCCTGTCCTCACTCACCCAACACTCTCTCTCTCTTAGAACTATGACCCTCTGCATGGAGGTACCCACTCCTATTTCCTTCTGCAACTTCAACACCCCTTTTTACCACAGGTGACAGCGCTGACCACAATGCTCTCGGGCCGGTGGTGGCCAAGTATTTGGGGAAATCTAGGACTGAGTCTACAAAACCCTTCTCAGGGGCCCCAGCTCTGTGCCCTCTACCCCTTCACTTATATTGGGGCAGATGGACGGCAGGTGTCTCTGGCTGAAGGTGACAGGTTCCTACTGCTTCGAAAGACCAACTCAGACTGGTGGTTGGTGAGGCGCCTGGGAGCGTCCCCCAGCTCCCGGCCCATCTTTGTCCCAGCTGCATACATGACAGAGGAATCGCTCTCCTGCCCAAGACCAGTAGACGCTTCCCACAATGCATCCCTCTGGAGTCCTGGTAAGCTTTCCTTTTGCCTTCCTATCTCCCTGGCTTGAGTTACTGAGTGCATTTGCTTCTAACTTCTGCAGAGCCCCTTGTCTTGCTTTCCTTCGATAAGCCCCAGGGTACACACACACACACACACACACACACACACACACACACACACACACCACCCGGTAACCCCCTTTGCCCCCTTTAGCTCCAAGTTGTCTAGGTCTCGTCATTTCCGGCAGCTTCCCTCTGCATTCCTTGACAACTCAGCCAAGGCCCTAATCTGTCATCACCTGCCACTCCTCCCTGTCTCTCTCTCCAGGGACAAAGCTAGTTCACAGCTCCCTGGAGGAAGTCCACCTGTCTCAGGAACCCCGGGTTTCTTCTGAACACACTATGTGCAGAAGTGTCAGCATGGCCAGTTTGAAGCCCTGCTTCCTGAAACCCCTCAAGAAAGGGCTGAGAGAAAGATCTCCCTCCCAGGAAGGCTCGGTGACAGAGGCCAGTGCTGTCATGGTGAGTTATAGATCTTCATCAGAGCGTGGTCTGTCAGCCACACTACAGCAGGGCCCTGTTCTAGCCACACTGGTAAGGGGGACAGAAAGCTTCCATCCCTTAAAGGACGAAGGGCAGGAGAGGGTGACATTAAATAAAGCTGATAGAGGCTGAGAAGACCTCCTGCACATACAGGAAGAATGACCACAATCAAAGCAGGGGATTCCAGAGGAGAGCAAGTAACACAGGCCCTGAGGGGATAGGGAGTCCAGTGTAACAGGAGGAAAGCCAACAGGACTGCTTTTTTCTCTGGTTCTGACTCCTAGCCCAGGGCAAGGTTTGTCCTCTGTCCGGTAGTCTTCAAGTCAGGACACCAGCAAGTTTCTTCTAAAGTTATGTCTCTTGTTGAGTCCTTCCCCCTCCCCCTCCCCTCCCCCTCCCTCTCCTTTGTCAGTTGCAATTTTGAGCCAGGGTCTCACTCTGTATGTAGTAGGCCCAGCTGAGTTGGACTCCTTAGGTAGGCCAGACTGACCTCAAACTCCTGTAATCCTCCTGCCTCAGCCTCCCAAGTGCTGGGTTTACAAGCCAGCCTGGCTCCTCCCCCTCCCTGTCTCCTGTGCATAAGGGCCCGCTCTCTCTCCTCCCTAGCGTGGCCTCTCACGTCTTGGTGTCTTTTACCCTGAAAGATGTGAGGAAGGGGCACTCTCTCCTCCCCACCCCCTACCCCCCCCCAAAAAAAAAGCCTGTTCCCCTTTCCTGCAGCCCTGGGGCGGGGTTGCGTGGGGGAGGAGGGAAGTTGGCAACAGGAAGTGAGGAGAAGAGCAAAGGCGGCTGTGAGGGGAGAATTTTAAAAAAGCAGCTGGGAACTGGGGTTTGTACCCCTGTCCCAGGGTCGCCCTGGCCGGGAGCTGAGCTGCCGGTGAGTAAACGGGAGAGACTGGGAGGGACAGGGGCAAAGTAACCACCACCTCCTTCCCCACTTCCCCGACAGACACGATCCCCTCCCCTCCCGTCAGAGCCCCCTGTGAATTGTAATCTGGTTGGCCTTTTCCTAAATCCAGGGTCCCTGTCCCAAAGACCTGCCTTTCCCTCCCGCCCCCCCCCCCAAGGCTGGGTGCCTGGGAGCTGCTCTTAAAAGGACACAATTCTAAAGAGAAAGGCTGTGTCTCTTCAGCTACCAGACCTCTGAGGCACGGACCCCAAGGAATTAGAATTGCCCCAGGAGCCTTACGCTGGGGAAGTAAAAGGCTGTGGTCCTGATACCAGCCAGAGAAGGAATTTGTCTTCTAGAAGGACAGTTCTTACAACTTGTCAGGTACTGAGACATCAGAGAATGGAGCTGAGACACAGATGGGCAAGGACCTTACCATTACAAACCACCACCACCACCCCCACCACCACCACCCCACCCCAGACAGGGTCTCACTGTGTGGTCCTGTCCTGGAACTCGCTCTGTAGACAAAGTGGGCCTCAAACTCACAGGGATCCTCTATCCTGCTCCCAAGTGAATGCTTGAGTGCTGAGATTAACGTGTGCAGCCCCATGGCTGACTTTATGGTTATCTCTTGCCCTCTATTCAAACCTAAACCTCATGTTAGACCCCAAAAGCAGCACTGGGGATGATTGGATTTATTTTTATGACCGATCCACTTCTCAATGTGGCCACATTGACTTTGACTAAATAAATATTTTATATGTGTGGCTGTTTTGCCAGCATGTATGCCTGTGTATCACCATGCATGCAGTGCCTGCAGAGACCAGAAGAGGGCGTCAGATCCCCTGGGACTGGAGTTAGTTTTTAGCCCTAATGAGGATGCTGAAAATCCAGCTGCACATCCCCTCCCTGCCCTCCAGAAGGCAGCTGGTGTTCTTAACCACTGAGCCGTCTCTCCAGTCCCAGATAAGTCATTCTCTGCCCTTTGGCATTGTCTCTTCGATTGATTATTGGGGACAAGTGGCAGAGCTTAGATTGTGCCAGGACACAGCCTTAACTAACAACCTCTAGTAACACCTGGACCTCACCTCTGGATGCTGTCCCTGTGCCACAGTCATATTCAAGACACTGTCCCTCCTGCTTGTCCCATTGTCCCTTCAATCTCCTTTCCCCCATTTCTCTCTGGGGCTCTCAGAAGGTCAGGAGAAAGAGAAAAAAAAAAAAAAAACCATGAGAAGTGTTGACTTGCTGAGGTACCATCGGATGTTGTTTTGTCTCTCCCTCCCTCCCCCCCATCCCCAAACCCAGAAACCTGGCTCCATGGAACAGACAGAGACTCTGATTAGGGGCAGTGGGGCCCTACAACCTCAGGAATGGCTCGATCCACAGGTGAGAACACCTCCGCGTTAACTTTCTATGACATTCCCCTTTTATGCAAGGCGTTCTTCATTCATTACCCACTATAACGTTAGCCACATGCTTCTTCCTCTTGCAGCCTAGGACCTCCAGATTGAAGGTCCCTCTACATGTCTCAATTCCCCATCCTTAGGGTTTATCAAGCCTCAGCCGAAGCTCTGCCTGGGGAGACCTGTCAGACCATCGGGCAGCCCTGGAGTCCTGTCCGGCTCTGCCACACCTGGATGACCCCCATGTAAGTGTTTCCTGTCTCTGAATGCCAGGATCCTCTCCGAAATGTCACCCTGACTCCTGCCCCTCCAAGACACGTTCTTCTTTTCTGGATGCTTCCTCTTCGCCAGTCTCCCCCACCCCCAAACTTTAACGGACCCCTTGGACAGAACCCTTGGCGGCTGTGGGTGGCTCAGGGTGGCTTGCAGACAATACCCCATACCTTTCCCAGGAGGAAATGTCAGGCCTGATCAACATGACCAAGATTGCTCAAGGAGGGCGCAAACTCAGGTGAGGATTGGAGACAAGTGGCAGGGCTTAGTTTGCTAGAGCAAAACGCCAGAGGTCTGGGTTCTCGGATTTCACAGGGTAGAAGGCAAGGGTAACGGTGCTGGGAAGCTCAGGCACTCCAGGTGAAATTCTAAAATGACCTTTTAACTACCTCTACTCCTCCTCCCCTCCCCCACAGGAAGAACTGGGGCCCGGCTTGGGTGGTGTTAACTGGCAACAGCCTTGTGTTCTACCGAGAGCGGCCACCGCAGTGTGCGCCCTCCCAAGGCTGGGTGAGCATCGGCCTGGGGAGCAGCAAGGGGTTTGGGGGTTACTGGTTTGAGACTCAGGCCGACTGAGATGGGCGGGGAGGGGGCGAGGAAGGAAATGGAGAGGAAGGTAAAGGAAGGAGGAAGCAGCTCACCTCCCCCACGCCCGCCCCGCCCTAATAGGGAAGCGGTGAAGAAACAAACTGTTAGCCTCAGTTTCTCCCATCGTTGCCAGGCGCCAGCTGGAAGCCGGCCGGAAAGCAGCGTGGACCTGCGTGGGGCTGCCCTGGCCAACGGGCGCCACCTGTCCCGCCGCCCCAACC